ACTTTTCGCTCTTCAGATAACTCTGCTCAACCTCCAGAAGGTCAGGTACAACCATTGAGGGTCCGGATGTTGAAGGGGTCCCTGGGTTAGCAAGACCCTGTCTGGCATAATTCTCCATGGTGTTGATATGGATAGACTGCAGAGGTCAGCAAACCACGGCCTTCTGGGCCAGTAAGGAGCTACTAGAAGCAGCTCTGCCCTCTCATCTAGCAGCTTCTGAATGACCTTGGGAAGCAGTGGAAGTGGCGGGAATACGTACAGATGTCTCGGGGGCCAATGGCAGCGGAGCGCATTGAAGCTCTCTGCTCCTTGCAAGGGGTACCTGGAAAAAAATATCGGGAGCTGAGCATTGAGGGGGGAAGCGAACAGGTCTACCACTGGCTGTCCAAATGTCCTGACCGCATCTTGAAACAGGGTCGGATGGAGGTGCCACTCTGATTGATCGATCATGGCCCTGCTTAGCCAGTCTGCCTGTGTATTCAACAGTCCCGAAATGTGCTCTGCTCTGATGGAAAGTAGGTTGCTCTCCACCCAATGACACAAGCGCTCCACTTCCCGCATGAGGTGTTTCGACTGTGTGCCTCCCTGATTGTTTATGTGAGCTTTTGCTGCTACGTTGTTGGTCAATATTAGTATGTGTTGATTGCGTACCTGTGGAAGGAAGCTGCGGAGAGCCAGGTGTACTGCTCAAAGCTCCAGCCAGTTTATGCTGCACAACTGTTCTATGGAGGACCAGCAGACATGGGCTGTGAGCGATTGAAAGTGAGCTCCCCATCCAAATAGGCTGGCATCGGTGGTGATAGTAAGTCTGTGGGGCTCTTTGAAGAGATAACCTCTGTTGATGACTGGTCTGGTCCACCAGTGGAGAGATTTGAGGACCTTTGATGGAACCTTGACCTTGTATTTGGAGTTGCTTTGGCTGGATCACTGGTACGGGAGCAGGAACCACTGGAGGGATCTAGTGTGGAGGTGGGCCCAAGGAATAATAGATATACATGAGATCATCTTGCCTAACAATTTTGATAGGTCAGCTAGGGATACCCTTTCTTGAACTCTGATCTCCTTAACTAATTGATGGATGCTGTTTTGTCTATCTGGTGAGAGGAAAACTTTGCCTTCCACCATATCTATGGTTGCCCCCTGATGGATTAATCGAGTTGATAGTGTTAATTGACTCTTTTCCCAATTGATTGGAAACCCATGTAGTTGTAGGGATTGTAATGTGGTCTGAGTATCTCTGAGTGCTTGATGAACGGAAGATGACAAAATTAATATATCATCAAGGTAACACTGGAGTCATACAGGTACACCTCGGAGATGGCAGCAAGAGCTGTGAGAACCTTTGTGAAGGTCCTGGGTGCAGATGCTAATCCAAAAGGAAGAGCCACATATTTGAAATGGTGATTATTATAACAGAATCGTAGAAATTTATAGTGGGAAGGCCGAATAGGAATATGTAAGTACGCCTCCGTCAGATCTATGGATATAAGGACGTCACCTTTTCTGATGCTGAGTAAGATGGATTGCAGGGTGTGCATTTTAAACTTGCGATATACTAAGAATCAGTTAAGACGTTTCAAATCTAAAACTGCTCTCCACCCCCCACCCAAACTTTTGGGAATAACAAAAAGATGTGAATAGAAACCTTGCCCTCATTGTTCGATAGCTATTGGTAGGATGGCTCTTATGTCCAGTAGGTGTTGGATAGCTGTTTCCATAAGATTTTGTATAACCAGTTCTCTGGAAAGAGGGCTGGACATAAAGAAGTCTGGGGGAGTGGATTGAAACTCTAGCGCAAGGACGAATCTGACCTTGTCTCTGACCCAGGAATCAGACGTTGAGGAGTCCCATTGGTCCGCAAATAATTTAAGGTGGCCACCAATGGGAGTTGGGTCCATGGAGTTATCTTGGACACCAGAAAGGTCTATTTCCTGCTCCTTGAAAGGATCTCTTGGACTGGCCACCCCTTCGGTTCCTATCCCTGAAGTCAGACCTCTCTGGCTGCTGCCCTGGTTGGAAAGATGGGGGTCTCTGGTATCTGGTTGAGAATGGTCCCTGATAAGAGGGCCGAAAGGACTGAAGGTTTCTAGGATCTGACTTCCGAAAAAGGGAAGGTAGAATTTTCTTTTTGTTTCAAGTTTCAATAAGCAGCGGATTGAGGGAAGGGCCAAACAGTCTGTCTCCCACAAGAGGAGATGAAGCCAGCTTGCATTTGTGCTTAAGCGTTGCGCTGTGACATGTGAAGTAATGGCTCTGGCAGAAAACTTAACTGCATGAAAGATTGCGTCAGCTGAGAATTCAGTGGCTGCAGTAAGTTTTGCAATGGTCTTGGTGTGCTCTAATGTTGGAATTGGGGACATGTTCCCCTAAGAGCCGGAGCCATCTGAGAGAAGAACGGGTAAAGAAGGAAGCAGCCATGGCCGCTCTGATGGCCCACACATCAGACTGATGGGCCCTGTGTAGGGCCAGCTCAGCCCATTTTTCCTCCAGCTTTAATGTCTCCAGCGCTTCACTGGGAATGGAGGTCGAGGAAGCTAACCCCACAATAGGTTCGTCTACCTGGGGAGTATTCAACAATTTTAAGAAATCAGGGGCCAAATTAAAGTATTTCCTGTCATAACCCATGGGGGCAGGGTACACTGCTGAAGCCGTTTCTGTACCAGGTTTGCAAACGTGAGGAACTGGAATCACATCTGTTTCGACTACTGGTTGGCTGAAAATTAGATCTTCTAGTCCTTCTTCTGAAGGAGTTGGAGTGGTAAAAGGGGCTGGCTTGTCCAGGTGTGCAGTGTTTTTGGCCTTAAACAATAGTGATTTGAATACTTGTGGGCGGAATAAGCCAGTAAATACAGGTTGGTCAGGAACAAGACCCTCATCCTCAGACATCCCCCTAAGGGGTCCACTTCTAAAAGGGCCGGGTCGCAGTCATGTATTGATCCCGATTCAATCTGTTCCATCGGATCAATGTGCTCTACCTCTTCTGTCTCCTCCTCCTGCTCCTCCTCCTGTGGCCCTTGGAGTGCCAGCAGCAATCTCCCACCGTGAAAAGGGATTAGCTCCAGACAGCTTTCCCTTAGTACTAAACAGCTGGGAGGGGTGAAAATAACCAGGCATTTAAGCCCTTCACTCCAAGGTGGTGTTCTGGGGGAAAAAACAGCGATACAACTCCGTTGTGAGAGGAACAAAACCACGGCGTTTGTTAAAACGGCACAGCTATCGCTATGTCAAGGGCAGGGCTAGCGGTTGAGGGGGTGCAGAACGAAGCTGAAGCCTCCCTCTGCTTCAGGGTTTCCCAATACAGCGATCACCGATGGCCAGATGGAAAAGGCAGAGTGGGTAGATCGTTAAGCAATTTGTTGAGAGAGCCTGAAAGACGAATTGACTGTCTCCAAACCTGATAAGAGAAATTCTCCTGTTTCGGCCAAGGAGTAACGAAAAGGCACTGCCTATCCCTCACGAGGCTGAGCCAAAACTGGGGAACGCTGGGAAGGAGTCCCGTGGAGGAGGAGGAGGAGGAATGTTCCACAAATTAAGCCCAGCCTAGACATGCAGAGACTGAAGCACCTCCCACTACTGGATGCTCTGAACATGGGAGAATTTTCTGCTTCAGTTGAGATGGGGAAAGAAGAAACCAGCATTCCACCTCCATGTGCTGCAGTTAAAATGAAAGGTAGGGTCTGCCTAAACTCACTTGTTTTTAAATTTGGTATGACCGCTAAAGGCATATGGAATATCATACTGAGCTCAGCTCCAAATGATAAGATGTTGAATCCTTCTCTGTGCGTTCAAATTGTATTAAATGTCGCATGCAAAAAATTCCTAGAGAATCCTAGTTTTGTTCAGCTTAAAAGTAAGTATGCCCTCCTTACAAGAGCACTCCCAAGTTGTGTCCTCTGGCATGAGAGAGAATACTTCAACCAGTACATAGATCAACGTGGTCCACAAAGACTTGAATACAGCAGCTGCTCCCAATTTATTTTAAAAATAGAGGATGGCTTTGCTTGTACTATTTTGACTGGCAATCAAGCCTGTTTTATAAATTCAGTCCTATTGGAACAATTAATCAGTTAAGACATTCAAGTCTTCAAGTGCAGATATATGCATCTAGCAATTCTCCCAGAAAGGAAATACTGAATTATCTAAATCTGAGAAAACACTGATTCTTGTTTGCATTGTCAGCCATTTACCACATCCTGTAAAATTACAGAATGTATTCTGAAGGAATAATTTGTGTATTAATGATTAGCTATAACTCTGAATTATACAGGAATTCAGTAATGTACATAGCTTATCAGACTCTTAATTTCAATTTTTATGTATTAATCGAGGAACTAATGTAACATTAAAAAAAACTATGACAATCTTTGATAGAAATCTTTGAAAAATTTTGAGAATTGAATGTAAAAGAAAAAAATACCTAACTTCAAGCAGTTATTATTGAATGCTAGTCACAGTAATAAGTCACATGCTTTCTATTTAATCCATTTTATTATGATTACAAATATCCAAAATATTTTCCCCATTTAAAAATGTTCACGAACCATGTCCACATCATGTTATGTGGAAACGAAAACAATCTCATTTTTAAATATAGCCGAAATAAGTTCCATTTGCAATTCCTCTGGCAAGATTTTTATAAGCATTGAACTTGAATTGGAAGAAAAGGTGAAGAAAGGTCCAAAAACCCAGTATCGTTTTTTAACCTAAAATAAATTGTATCTTCTTTGAAAATCCACTTCATCTTCAAACTCTTCAGTCAACTTACTTAACTTTCTGTTTCTTTCTTGCTTGAAACTGTTCTGTTTTATTCTTGACGGATTTGATTAACATCGACAACGCAGGATCTAGAGTTTTTGTGGCAACAGGTTCCTCCTCTGCCACATTGTCCTGCTTTCCCTTTGCCTCAGTTGACCCCTGGTGCCTTCGGCGAGCTTTCTCCTCTAAAATCTTTTGCACTGCTTTTGTTTTCTTAAAGTTTGGATCAGAAGGATCCAAATTAAACAAATGGGAAGTATACATGGCTTGAAACCTGGCATCATCAACATTTACCTGGGAACAGCAAAAAGGAAATATTACTTGCTGGAAAAAAAAAGGAGGAGAAAATTTTAACTATAACCTGCAAGATTTTAACTATAAATTTTAACTATAACCTGCAAGCTTAACAGGACGTACAATAACCTTCAGACTGAGGGAGCAGTTCTCAGGAATGTGAAATACATAGACCGAGAACCTGAAAAGAGACCATATACCTCACAATATGCTAAATAAGCCTTACCCTACATGAAAATACAATTCATCCCCTCCAGTCACATGACCGGATTTTGGCCCTTGGCAACCACCCCCCCTTTATGATTGGCTGCATCGTCCCATGGTTACATGCCTGCAGTTTTTTGTTTTTGTTTTGCCTGTTTCCAGCAAATTATCTATGGTTTCATACTTATGGCCACATGATTCAGTTAATGACCACTGTAAAAACAATCATTAAAGTTGGGTCTTCAGATGGATGCCTCAATCTATGTCTGTTTTATGTACTATAGAATAAGGTATCATCAGAAGGAAAAGGGATTTAGACATAAAACAAACAAATTTTGCATGTCAATATTTCTGTGGTTATATATTTAGATTGACAGAATCAAGGTGGATGAGAACAAGAATAAAAGTGGAGAGAAATTTCAAACTTGGATTTGTTCTTCATAATTACAAACCTGTGTGTTACCAATTAAAAGTGGTGGAGTTCCTTTTTACTAGGCCTGTTACTGAACTACCTTTCACATGAACTGCAAAGCTTAGATAAATGGTTTATATGCTGTTGTACGGAACCAGTTTAATGTAGTGGCAAAGAAACCACTTAGTTTAGGATAGGCCTGGAAACCAGGAGACTGTGAGATCTAGGCTTCCCCTAGGCCTGGAAGCCAGGTGGATGACTTTTGGTCCAGTTCAAAGAACGGTGGTGGTGAAAGTAGATGGACGAAGAAGTATTAGGTATGTTCACTACTTTGAGTAGAAAAGGGTGGCTACATCATCATTATCTTTAGCCTCCTTCTTTCCTCCATTCTATATATTTATGAAAAGGCAAGGAGAAATGTGTACCTTTCCTTCCTATTATGCCCAAATAAGATTTCAGGAGTAAAATATTACTTGGGGCTTAAGTGATATGGGGTAATTTATCAAAATAATGGGAATGATAATAGTAAAATATATTTCCATGTTAATAACTGTGGTTATTAGTCTATATTAATTCAAAACGATCAGTGTGTTTACTACATTTCAAAAGAGGGAAGCCCATTGTGTTACCTGGAAGTCATCTGTCACCAGTTCCTCCTTCTTCATTAGCAGCTTCTTTTTCCTTTTGCTCAGGTTCTGCTGTTCTACAATTTTGTCATAATTGAAGTGACTCCTTTCCTCCTCCTCATCCATCATCAACAAAGCCAATTCAGCCTGTTACAATCAGAACAGAAAGGCCCTGTTTGTATCCATTTCAAGTAATACAGATTCCAGATGTTTCTATCTCTCAGTCAAAGACTGTGTTGCTAATGCGGGACTGGGACAACCGTAATAGCTGATCTATTTCCAAAACATTTTTATAAGCAAGGATAGGAGCGCTTTATTATAAAAAGGAAAGAAAAAGCAATTAATAGCGTTACCCTCACTGCAATAAGACTAGATTGAGAATTCTAATCTCTGTTATTTATTGGTGATGCCTTAACCCGTCTTTCTTTTGAAAAATGTAACATGTCATGTCTTAAACTTCCAGGCAAAGTCTAACTCAAATGTCAATCACACTAAGAATCTCTTAACAACATATTCAAAGACTGCTTGAAGTTTAATACTTGGTGTCATGTTTTCCAGATATACAGATTCCAACATGGCGTTGAAAGCATGCAAGTGGACTGTGGGTCCTTGCACTCATATGAACACAACATTTTAGTTGCACCAGGGGGTATAACCTCCTGTTCTGAAGAAGCCATTCCCAACCTAAATATTTGCCAGAGATGTAGAATAATTCTTGGCAACACTCATACTAAGGGGATTCTAGCAATTGCAACCATCTATTTTTCTACATGCTAACATCCTTCTGTCAGTCAGTAAGCAAGATCTTATTATTTTCTACGAATTAATAGTAAAAACAAGCAGTTAATCTTTTTAGGAATTTGAAAATTACATACTTTTTGGCACATCTATATATCTACAAATTAAGCATTTGCACTTACACATGGTAGATCTAAATTAGATAGCTTATTAGATATGTTCAAAATATTCCCAAGTCATAATGTTTGAGTTTCAGATAATCACCTTTTTGAAGTATTACAAAAAAGACAACAATCCATGTCCCGCTATTATAATCTAATTGGCATACTAAGAGAATCTAGCAAATCCTGGCTGGTCCTAAACAATTAATCAAGGTTTTATTATTGTTTAAATGGAAGGTCACCAGGAAACATTAGGATTGAAGCTTCACTGGGAAAAAAACACTCTGGAAAAACACTACAGCAAAGTATTTCCACAGTGCTTCAGAAATACAATATGGAGTTTTTCCTCAAATCAGTAGAAATCAAGCTCTATTCAGACTTCACCAATACCTTAATATGACAGTCGACATCTGGCAACTGCTTAAACATGATCACAAGTAACAGACATTTCAAAGCTGCCGTGTATTGTTCCAAACATATGCAATATCATGACATAATGTGGAATGTCCCTGAGGAAACATTTTCCATTGCCTTTCACAGGGATGGTGGTGGTGTTTAAACTGATTCAGACTAGATGGCAAATCCCTGGAATATCTGGCAAGTACATACATTTCAGAAATGAGATGAAGAAAGCTAAGTTTTTGAGAAAATCATCCTATGATTTATTGTCAACAAATATTGCTACACTGACTAATACAGGAGAATCATTTCACAAAGTGAATTCATTCTTCCAATGGAACTTCCATCTCATGTCTTTTTTAAGGAATAAGAAATAAATTCCATTTTTGTATTAGGTTTTCCCAACCACTAACTTTCATTATTAGTCATTTTAATTAAAGGTCATTCTGATTTCATGGAACATAAGCTACTTTTTGTTTTAGCACATTGGGTGATATTAATGTATATTAACCATCTGAAGATGACTTGCAGCTCATCATTAATGACAGCAATGCAAAGCCAAGTAGCCACATGCATAAATTAATAAATGCATTGGCAAAGTAATATGAACTGTGGGATTCACAAATGGTTTACATACTGATTTTCTCAAAGTGCATTTGCAGTAAAAAGAGATTGGTTTTAGAAAAAGGGAGTGGGGCGGCATTTGTTGACATCTGCTTCTCTCTCCTACTGTTTAGACATGGATCTGGATAACAAGAAAGAGAGAAGAGCCCCCCATTTTCTCTTAGGAGATTTTAAACAGCTCCTCTTCCTAACCATCCCTTTTCATTTGATCCTTCCTTGGCTTATGGACCAAAAGGGCAAGAGTGAAAATGAAAACACATCATATTTGGACCCTGATATTCTTTAGGTTTGCTTGCTCAGCTTTCCTCATCACTGCCATTCTCCAAAAGAAAGGCTTCATCGAAAAGAAAAAAAACAGCTAATCCTATAGCACTGCTGAAGCCAATGTTTGTACCGGTCTTGTTGCTACTGGAAAGACCTACATGAGACACATTTCTAAGCTGGGGCAAGGATGTGTCTTTTTTTTAAAAAAAGCAATAATAAAAGGATTCTTAATTAATTCCTGAAAGTGAT